TTTTTTTTTTTTTTTTTTTTTTTTTTGGTGAGTAAAAAACGGATAAAATGTCTCGGTCTCCGTCGTTGTTTGGACGGAAATCTTCGGAACCATGGGTTGAAGAAAACCGGCATTGCCACTCGGAATGGTCTTCGGGGGAAGAACCGGCGACGAATGAAGACGAACATTTTCGTAAACTCTCTTGAGTTTTGCGAGAGTTTACAGCGGGAATCGCAGTCGAAGAAGTTTCGGTGGGAATTTTTGTTTGCCAATGCGAATTCGAAATCGAATTTAGGGTTGAAACATGTAAACGGGAATGATGGTGATAATTTGCGGACATTCCATATCAACATTGGGGCAACTAAAGACAGTAACATAAACAGAGGGGTTTCTTCCAGAAGTTTTCGAATCGATGACTGTTGTGGCCGTTTTGTCTTCGTCTAATCAAGCGTCTTATTGGCACTCCAATGCATCTTACGCCGTTTTGGAAGATGAATTTCATGGTTTATTGGAGTAGAATCAAGCTCGTCGGAGGAACCATATTGAGCAATTCGACAATTTCATGGTCCCCTGTTCTTTCTCTCGGAAAATGCTTCGTATCCCGCAAGATGATATCTATCAAGTCGGGTGAAGGATGAAAGCGAAGCATATGTAAAGCTGCGCTTGGCTGAAGAAGATGGTTATGGGGGAAATTATGGATCATTAATATCAAAACATGAACGAGATTTGTGCGACGTTGATGAAGACAGTGGAAATTCAACAAAGCCTAATGTGTTTAGCAGAATCCAGTTTGCAAGTCATGGAGCTGACCAGAGTGTTGTTCATGATACTGCCATCAATTTAACTACTAGTCAACGCTTCTAACCACGAGTTCTTGGACTTCTTTTTTAAAATAAATAGTATTCTCTATTCTGATGAGACTTTCTAGTTGGAGAGAGACTTTCGAGTGGAAGAGATTTAAGAGCAAAGCCACTTTGTCGAGTTGGAGAGGTTCAAGAGCAAAGCGAGCAAATCCAATTTAACGAGTTGGAGAGATTCAAGAGCGAAGCAAGCAAACCCAGTTTATCGAGTTGGAGAGATTTAAGAGCAAAGCGAGCAAAGAGCTGGGGAGATTTAAGAGCAAAGCGAGCAAACCCACTTTATCGAGTTGGAGAGATTCAAGAGCGAAGCAAACAAACCCACTTTATCGAGTTGGAGAGATCCAAGAGCAAAGCCAGCAAACCCACTTTATCGAGTTGGAGAGATTCAAGAGCAAAGCAAGCAACACCACTTTATCGAGTTGGAGAGGTTCCAGAGAGAAGCAATAAGACCAATAGAAAGATAAGCGAAAGGAGTACTCTTCCGTAGCTAGCTCGAGATTAACCTAATACTAGGAATGTGTACATTGAAATAATTTTTAATATTATTACGGCTGATGTGCTTAAGCTTCAAAAGTTGGTGCAAATTAAAAAATATATATTTAATACGTTTCTAATTTAATTTTAAAATTAGGAATATATTAGACATAAAACCAATATATGTCAAGACATTTTCCTTTATAGGAAGTTTACTCTCCATCGAATATATTAGACAAAATTAAATTGAAAATTGAAAATTATGAATATATTAGACATAAAATTAAATTTAAATTTTGACATGGGCTCTATAAAACTTATGTACAAACATCCGAACTTCACAATAGACGGTAAGAAAAAGAACTATTCTGGATATGTTGCTCAAATCTTATTTGCACCAGCACAGTTTCCCAAAAAGTGGGGAAAACAACAAGGAATCTGAGAATGATATTCAAATCAAATGGTAGCCGAGGTCTGCAACTAAGCAATTATTGGACAAACATTTCTTCAATAACAAAATTAACATAGGTCCAGAAGTTAAAAACCTCTATGCAATTAAGATGCTGAGAGACTGTGTCACCCTCATTCTTTCTTCCCAATCCCATGAGACATGTTATAAATTCCTCGTCCCTGCGCGAAATGGGAGCAGACCCACGTTATCCGTAATGTTATACAACTAGTTTCAAGTGTTTCATAATGGTTCAGAAAGCCTTCAACAATTAACTTACTATAAGATACAAGGATGAAGCTGCCAAAGCAATTGGGATGGCAACAGAGGTGACCTTATCCAATGGCCCTTTAAGATATGTGTGCTTCTGGATGCTCTGGAAATACTTTTGCCTTTCAATCAGTTTCTCACGCGGCCTAAACGGCTGTTCAGTCATCCTGCACGATAATTCAAATACAAAATAGGTGAAATTTGCAGATCTGTGCTTACATGTTTCATTTCTTCTGTATAACAAACAATCAAATCCAAGGACTCTGGAGA